TCAGATCACCAATCCAATCCTATTAGTGTAGTAAGAGGAAACTAAGGCCCAGGAGGGAAAGTGTTTGCCCCTTCCCAAGGTTAATGGTCAATCTGGGACTAGAACCCAAGGCTCCACGGCCCTTCAAAGAGAGAAGACTCTTTTGGAGAGTCTTCTGCAGCATCAAGCAGCCTCTGCACTGTGCTGTGGAATCTGAGTGTGGCTCCTTGTGTCACTGGACAAGCCAGCACAATGGTAGAGAAGCCTAACAAAGGACAAGGGACTTTAATACTTCTTTTTTTTTTTGAGACGGAATCTCGCTCTGTCACCCAGGCTGGAGTGTAGTGGCACGATCTCAGTTCACTGCAACCTCTGCCTCTTGGGTTCAAGCGATTCTCCTGCCTCAGCTTCCTGAGTAGCTGAGATTACAGGCACATGCCACCATGTCTGGCTAATTTTTTTTTTTTTTCAGTAGAGACAGGGTTTCATCATGTTGGTCAGGCTAGTCTTGAACTCCTGACCTGATGATCCACCTGCTTTGGCCTCCCAAAGTGCTGGAATTACAGGCACGAGCCACCATGCCTGGCCATTTAAAACATTTTTATGGCATCTCAGTTCTTACCAGGACCTGCTGAGGCAGGTTCACATTCTGCAGAAAAACCCAGCACCAAGGATGCCACACCCATCCCCCAGAACCCTCCCCTGACAGCCTCTCTCACACACTGCCAGGAGTGGTCCAGCCTTTCAGGAGAGCAGTTTGGGGATCTGAACAAAATCTAAAACCTGCACTCACATCTACAAAACATTCCCGAGAATCACCAATGGTTCCAGATAAAGATGTATGTGCAAGATGGCTCGCCAGGCTTTGTTAATACAGGTTGAGCACCCCAATCCAATAATCCCAAATCTGAAATATCCCAAAACGTGAAACTTTATGAGCACTGACATGATGCTCCTGGGAAATACTCATTGGAGCACTTTGGATTTTGGATTTTCAGATCAGAGATGATGAGCAAGTATAATGCAACTTTCAGATAAGAGATACTCAACCTGTAATAGCAAAAGTCCCAAATAATGTAAACACCTGCATTTAAGCTGCCTTGGAACAAGAGATTGGGAAGACTTTACTTTTTTTTTTTTTTGAGATGGAGTCTCGCTCTGTTGCCCAGACTAGAGTGCAGTGGCGCAATCTCGGCTCACTGCAACCTCTGCCTCCTGGGTTCAAGTGATTCTTGTGCCTCAGCCTCCCAAGTAGCTGGGATTACAGGCACGTGCCACCAAGTCCAGCTAATTTTTGTATTTTTAGTAGAGACAGGTTTTCACCATCTTGGCCAGGCTGGTCTCAAACTCCTGACCTCAGGTGATCTGCCCACCTCAGCCCCGCAAAGTGCTGGGATTACAGCCATGAGCCACCGCCCCTGACAATACTCTACTTTTTTACATAATATACTTCTATATTATTTGATTTTATTATGAATATGTAGTATTACTTTTACAATTCAAAAGAAGTAAAGATTAAAAGGACAAACAAAACCTTCTCTGATCCAGATGGAATGTTTAGAGTGTGGCAATGCAAATGACTTCTATACTTGTTTATATTATTGAAATTTTTACATTGAACAGGTATGGAACATTACAAAGATATCAAACATACTATGAAAAAGTCCTCCCCTGGGTTCCCACTGCCTTGAAAATGAAGAAAAATGTCTCACCCACTGAGCAGAGAAAGCAAGTTGTCCTGAATGCCCATTCTTCCCTTTGTCCTTCCTCTATAGCAGTAAAACGCCTGATGTTTTAGGCAGGGTACATATTGTCTCAGAATACTCACTACATTTCCCAGCCTTCCTTGCAGCCAGGTAAGGCCACATGACTACGTTCTGGCCAAGAGAATGAGAGCACAAGTGATATTTGGGAAGCTTTTGGGTCTTGTCCTTAAAGAACAGGGGTATGCACTCAGAAGAGAAATACAATCAAAACAACACTGAGATACATTTCCCACCTATCAGACTAGCAAAAGCCAAAAGCTTGAAGCACACTCTGCTGGTGAAATTGTGTGGAAATAGGCACTCATACACTCCTGGTGGGAATGTAAAATTACATGACCCTATGATGGAAAATTTGGGAATCTTTTAAAATGACAATATATTTTATTTACCCTCTGATCTAAGAGCAATCTCACTCCTAGGAATCTACTCTAAAGATAATCCCCCATTAATGCAAAAACACAAGGTTATTCATTGTGGCATTATTTGTAATTGCAAAATATTGAAAGCACCTAAATGCTCATCTATAGGAGATCAGTGAAGTAAATTAGGATCTACCCACTGAGTGGGGTGCTTCAAAGCTGTTTAAAAAGTGAATAAGATCTCTGTGAGGTCATACAAATTGATTTTCAAGATATATTGGTAACTTTTAAAAAACCAAAGAGCATATGCAATGTGCAAACACTTGTGTAACATGGGGGGAAATGAAAGAATGGAGTGGAATGGACAGAAGGTGAGGGAATAACACTACTTTTAGTTTACCTATTTGTATAACTTTTGACTTTTCAAACTTGTTAATGGTTTACATATTCAGAAATTAAATTATGCCAACAAGAATGAGGGAAAACAGATCACAAATAAATGGCATTGTATTTCAAATAAATAATATTATAATAAAAAACAATAATTAATCCACGTAGCTTTTAAAAATAGTGCTTTGGGCCAGGCATGGTGGTTCACACCTGTAATCCCAGCACTTTGGGAGGCTGAGGCAGGTGGATCACATGAGGTCAGGAGTTCAAGACCAGCCTGGCCAATATGGTGAAACCTGAAACCCCATCTCTACTAAAAATACAAAAATTAGCCAGGCATGGTGGCAGGAGCCTATAATACCAGCTACTCAGAAGGCTGAGGGAAGAGAATTGCTTGAGCCCGGGAGGCAGAGATTGGACTGAGCCAAGATCACAGCACTGCACTCTAGCTCCTGCTGGGGCGACAGGGCAAGACTCCATGTTAAAAAAAAATAGTGCTTTGTATACCTTTAGCCATACTTTTAAAGTCAAAAAACACTTTAAAGAAATCCTAAATAAGCTCTACTGTGGTGACCACGGAGGTGCTTAGACCTCCCTCAGGAAAGTCTGCTGCGGGAGCGACTGACAGCTACGCCTTCGCCAGCACTACAACCTGGCCCACAGCCATGGCATGAATGCCATGACCACACATGCCGGCCTGCTCCCGGCCAATGACCACACATGGAAGGAATGCTGGGCTGGCCATTCCTGCCCAACACTGGTCTCTTCTAACAAACAACCTTTTCTTGGATATTCCCCAAGGTCCTCACCAAGACTGTCAGTCTACACTGCAGTCTGAAGCGCTGCCTCCCTAATCCTCCTTCCTTGCAGTTTCTTATCACAGACTATATTACAATCAAAAGCTTTCCCTGCCTTTTTCTGCCCCTTCCCCTTGAAACTTTATAGGCATGTCCCTAATCAATCTCTTGCACATCTACTCCTATTTTGGCATTGACTTCTTGGAGGATCCAAGCTGACACCCTACTTAGTAAAGTTTGCTATTTGTAATAATATGAATATAGCAATTCTGACACTATGTTGTGTGTACTGCAGGACTAATCAATTAAGTAAATATATTGATATAGGAATCAAGAGTTCTAACTGCAGGAGAAGGAAGAAATATGAATGAGATAAGCAAGGAAGAATGCCGTTGTGTTGAACTGGAGTAGGAGATCAGTGTAACCTCATGATTTTATGAATAAATAAATAAAATCACAAGGTTACACTGACTTCAGATGTATGCTACAGATAGATAAAGCATGTGCATATGTGTGCATGTGTGTGATGATACATACGTCTTTAGCTCTGTCCATTCAGAGGGGCAAGGATGAGCAATGCCCTCAGCCCCACTGGCAATGAGCCCACCTAGTGCCCAGATCTTGGTTTCTAAATTTCATTAAAAGGAGTGGTAGAACACACACATCTACAGAGAGACGTGTGTGAATGGTCATAACAGCATTATTCACAATAACCCAAACCCTAACATTTTTATCCAAACATCGAGCAACTAGTGAACGGATGTTTTAAAAATATAGTACAGGCATACAAGGGAATACCATTCAGCAATACAAAGGAACAAGCCACTGATGCATTGTACAACACCGATGACTCTCAAAAACACTACACTAAGTGAAAGAAGCCTGGCCCCAAAGGCCACGTATTGTATGATTCCATGTAGATGAAAAGTCCAGAAAACACAAACCTAAAGAACTAGAAATTAGTGGCTGCTCAGGCCTAGAGGTGTATGTGGGGATTAACTGTCAATGGTCAAGAGACAGAATTCTGAGTGATGGAGAGGTTCGAAAACTGGATTATGGTGTTGGGCGCACAACTCTCTAAATTTGGGACTATCCACAGTTTGCTTTTGCAGTCTCATGCCCCAGTGCTTCCCTTCATGCACCTTCAATTCTACTTAATGTGTCCCAAAGGAGCCTCATGCTTTCAAGCCTCTGCCCAGGTGATTCCTCCTGTCCGGCAGGCAACTCCTCCCAGTCTCCTCCTATGGCAGTATTATTTGCTCTCCAGGGCCCAGAACAAATGTCACTTCCTCTGGCATGCCATCATCAGTCCCTTCCTTCTGTACAGTCTCGCTGAAACTTCTTGCACACCCCTGAGAATCTTCTTCACTCTAATTCATCAGCTGTGTCTACTCATGGCTGTCTCCTCACCACTCCACAGGGAGCAACTTCAGAACAGGGACAAGGTCTCATTCTTCTACTGCACCTAGCAAAGTGTCAGGTACATCATTAGCATTTGATGAATGATGGAGGGATGAGTAGATAGATGGATGGATGCATGGATGATTGATGGACAAAGCTGTGAAGAATAAGTGAGACTGAAGCCAGTGGAAAATGTACAGGCCTGTTTAAGCAAAGATGAGCCAGTTGTTAGGAAAGGCATTTTTAAAAGACTATAAAACAATGACTGTGTGTAAAAGACAATGGTGAAGGAGATAACCGTGTCTTACCTTCATCAAGCAGCCAGCAAACACAAGGAAGCCTTTGGAATGCAGATGCTTGGCCAGTGAGAATCCAAATCCAGAGTCACAGCCTGTGACCAGGACAGCTTTGCTGCCAACCTGTTATACAAGGTCAGATCCCATGTTAGGAACCCAGGGTCCAGGACAAAGTGACAAGGCCTCTCCACCCTCTGTGCAGTGACACTTCCTGAGTGGCCCAAGCCTGGCCCTCCCTACCTTGTTCTTGCTATCTGGAGAAGCACCTCGGCATAGCGGAAAGGCCAGGTTCTAACCTGACTCTGCTGCCAACCAGCAAAATCACTTGGGAAAATTACTTCTGCCTTTAGGATCTCATCTACAATCACCCATGCTACATGTGGGAAAACAGAGGTCTTTTTTTAAATGCTCAATGTAGTTAGTGATAGAGCTGGAATTGAAACCAGGGCTGAGAGATTCCAGAGCCTAAACTCTTTTTTTTTTTGAAATGGAGTTTGGCTCTTGTTGCCCAGGCTGGAGTGCAACAGCTCAATCAATATCAGCTCACTGCAACCTCCAGCTCCAGGGTTCAAGCAATTCTCCCGCCTCAGCCTCCTGAGTAGCTGGGATTACAGGCATGTGCCACCACACCTGGCTAATTTTGTATTTTTAGTAGAGATGGATGTTTCTCCATGTTAGTCATGTTGGTCTTAAACTCCTGGCCTCAGGTGATCCTCCCATCTCGGCCTCCCAAAATGCTGGGATTACAGGTGTAAGCCACTGCGCTCGGCATACAGAGTCTAAATTCTTAACCCCTAACTTGCTGAGTGGGGCTGGGAGTTCTGGCTCCCCACTAGGCCTCCACTGATAGCTTCCTGGCTGGGAGGGGCTGGAATGCCTCATTACTGCTTCCTTCCCATATAGATGGGGGTGTGTGATATCATTATTAATGAGAAGCTTTAAGGGAGGGTTGAGTGAGAAAGTGGCTCCGAGTGTCCTGGAAACACTAAAGCCCCACTCTGAAGGTAGCTCAGGGCCCAGGGCTGAGAAGAAGGGGTTCTGACCATCCAACTGGCCCCCAGTTAGCTGTGCTTCCACTCACCGGCTCCACTGCACTGGCATAAGTCCGACGGCCAATCGGGATAAAGGAGGCAGAACAAAACAATAGTGGGCGTCTGCAAGAGAAAAGGAAACCATCAGTACAGGACTGACCTTGTTCTTGGGGCAGAAGCAACTAGACAGACCCTCAGCCACCACTGGCCTGAAGTAGGACTGTGTGTCTCTCCAGCCCAGGCTCCTGGAGACAGCTTGCTGGTACAACTGAGAAAGAGGCCCTCTTTCCACCAGGGTTGCTAGGCTGATAGAAAGTGAGCCAGCATTTGCTATGGCTATGTTTGCCACTGTCTAGAATAAGCCTTCCTGAGAATAAAGCCAATTTAGAAGCTAGCTACCTTTGTTGGGTAGGCTCTGCCAAACCTTGACCGTCCGGTGCCCCACTCCAATAAAGTTCCATTTTCTGCTTTCCAAGGTACATAGATAGGTAATGTTTCAGGCTAATTCAAGTTTGAACGATTCTTGCATTAGTATGTTTTGGTAAAGCCTTCTGCAATTTCAGTGTCTTAATCCCCAGGAGGCTCAGCTTCCTGATAGTTATTTCAATCAAATTTTTTATTTTGAAATAATTGTAGATTCACATGCAGTTAAGAAATAACACAGAGAGATGCCAGGCACGTCACCTAATTTCCCCGAAGGGTAGCATCTTTTGAAACTACATTACAGTATCAAAACCAGGACATTGACACTGATACAATACAAATACAGAACATTTCCATCGCCACAAGGATCCTTCATGTTACCCTTTTATAGCCACGCCCACTTTCTTCCCACCCCACACCATCTTTAACCACAAATCTGTTCCCTCTCTCTATAATTTTAGCCTTTCAAGAATGCTATGTAAATGGAATCATACAGTGTGTATCCTTTAGGGACTGGCTTTTTCATTCAACATAATTCTCTGAAGATTCATCCAGATTGTTGTGTATTGATAGTTCGCTCCTGTTTGTTGCTAGGTAGTGCTCCATGGGGTACCACAGTTTGCTATTTACCTATTGAAGGACATCGGGGTTGTCTGCAGTTTGGGCATATTATGAATAAAGCTGCCTGAACATTCCTACATAGGTTTTTGCGCAAACATTAAGTTTTCATTTCTCTTGGATAAATGCCCAGAGGTGTAATTGCTGGGTTGTATGGTAGTTGCATGTTTAGTTTCTTAAGAAACGGACAAACTGTTTCTGAAAGTGACTACTGCAGTCTACATTCCCAGTAGCAATGTCTGAGTGACCCAGTTTCCCCATATCCTTGCTGGTGTTTGGTGGTGTCACGATTTTCTAGTTTAGCCATGCCGAACACTGTATCACGGTATTTTGCTTGGTTTTAATTGGCACTTCCCTAATGGCTAATGATGCTGATCATTTTTCATGTTTATTTGCCACCTGTCTCAGGCTGTTTGTGCTGCTATAACAAAATACCATAGACTGGGTAGCTTATAAATGACAGAAATGTATTCCTTACAGTTCTAGAAGCTGGGCGTTGAAGAACAAAATGCCAGCAGACTGTTTGTGAGGGCCCATTTTTTCAAAGACAGAAGTCTTCTGACTGTAACCTCACATGGCAAAGGGGTGGGGAGTCTCTCTCAGATCTCTTTTACAAGGGCACTAATCCCACTCATGAGGGCTCCACCTAATGAACTAATCACCTCCCAGCGCCCCTACCTCCTAGTACCAATACCTCGGGAGTTAGGATTTCAACACAGGAATTTGAGGAGAACACAAATATTCAGACCACGGCACCATATGTTTGGCAATATGTCTCTTCGTGTCTTTCGTCCATATTCTATTGAATTGTTTGTTCTTCTACACCATGGAATGTTGAGAGTTCTCTAGATGTCCTAGCTGTTGGTCCTTTGTTACATATGTGGTATGCAAAACTCTTCTTCTAGTCTATAACTTGCCGTTTTATCCTCTGTCACAGGGTCTGCTGCAGGGGAAAAGTGTTTCACTTAGACTTGGAATCAGGAGACCAGGTTCTAACTCAGCTCCTGCCACCAACCAACAGTGATGCTTGGGGAAATTTCAGGATCTCAGTGTCCCCATCTACAATCACCCATGCAACCCTTGGGACAACGGAGGAATTTTTAAATGCCCCATGTAGTTAGTGATAGAGCTGGAACTGAAACTCCAGAGTCTAAACTCTTAACTCCTAAATAAAGTCTAATTTTTTCCTTTTATGAGGCATACTTTTGGTGTCAATTCTCAGAGTTCTTTGCCCTGAGAACCCAAAGATTTTCTTCTATCTTCTTTTCTAAGTTTTACAGTTTTGGCTGGGCTCGGTAGCTCATGCCTGTAATCCCAGCACTTTGGGAGGCCGAGGTGGGCGGACGCTTGAGCTCAGGAGTTTGAGACCAGCCTGGGCAATATGGCAAAACCCTGTCTCTACAAAACATATGAAAATTAGTAAGGCATGGTGGCTCACGCCTGAAAGTCCCAGCTACTTGGGAGGCTGAGGCAGGAGGATCACCTGAGCCTGGGAGGGGGAGGTTGCAATGAGCTGAGTTTGTGCCACTGCACTCCAGCCTGGGCAACAGAGGGAGACCCTATCTCAGAAAAAAAAAAGTTTTATATTTTATATCTTAAGTCTTGAGTTAATTTTTGTATAAGATGTCAGACTTAGGTCTAAGTTTTGTATCCATTTGCTCCACTATCATTTTTTGAAAATGTTATCTTTCCTCCATTGACTTGCTTTTCCACTTTTGTCAAAAATTGGTTGGGCATATTTGGGTGGGCCTATTTCTGGATTTTCTATTCTATTTCACTGATACATGTGTTGCTACCTCATTTTTCTTCTTCAAAACTGTTTTAGCTATTCCATTTCCTTTGCCTTTCCATATAAATTTTAGAGTAATCTTATCTTTATCTATGAAAAATATGACTGGGATTTTTATAAAAAGTATGCTAGGCCGGGCGCGGTGGCTCACTCCTGTAATCCCAGCACTTTGGGAGGCCGAGGAGGGTGGATCACGAGGTCAAGAGATCGAGACCATCCTGGTCAGCATGGTGAAACCCCGTCTCTACTAAAAATACAAAAAATTAGCTGGGCATGGTGGCGCGTGCCTGTAATACCAGCTACTCAGGAGGCTGACGCAGAAGAATTGCCTGAACCTAGGAGGTGGAGGTTGCGGTGAGCCGAGATCACACCATTGCACTCCAGCCTGGGTAACAAGAGCAAAACTCCATGAAACAGAAAGAGAAGGAAGGAAGGAAGGAAGGAGGGAAGGAAGGAAGGAAGGAAGGAAGGAGAGAAAAGAAGGAAGGAAGGAAGGAAGGAAGGAGAGAAAAGAAGAAAGGAAGGAAGGAAGGAAGGAAGGAAGGAAGGAAGGAAGGAAGGAAGGAAGGAAGGAAGGAGAGAAAAGAAGGAAGGAAGGAAGGAAGGCAGGCAGGCAGGCAGGCAGGCTAAACCTGTATATCAATTTGGGGAAAGTTAGCATCTTTACTTTGTTGACTCTTCCAATTCCTGAGTACACTACGGGTTTCCATTTATATAGATCTTTGATTGCTTTCATCAGTGTTGTGGAGGTTATAGCATTTAAATCCTATACATGCAACCAGCCATGGTGGCTCACACCTGTAATCCCAGCACTTTGGGAGGCCAAAGCAGGTGGATCACCTGAGGTCAGGAGCTCAAGACCAACCTGGCCAACATGGTGAAACTCTATCTCTACTAAAAATACAAAAACCTAGCTGGGCGTGGTGGACGTGGTTGGGGTTTGCCTATAATCCCTGCTTGTCAGGAGGCTGGGGAAGGAGAACTGTTTGAACCTAGGAGCGAGAGGTTGCCGTGAGCCAAGATCGCACCATTGCACTCCAGTCTGAACAACGAGAGTGAAACTCTGCATCAAAAACAAACAAACACAAACAAAACAAAACACAAATCCTACACATGCTTCGTTATGTGTAACATGCTTTGTTACACGGAAGTATTTCTCTTTTTTTGAGCAACTACAAATGGTGTTGTCCCCTCCATGCTGCCCTGATGATATTTACTCTACCCTGACTCAGCTCTGTGCTGCCCACATACCACCCAGGCCCCTCTCAGCCCATCCAGAAGATTCAGAATTCCCTTTGACAACCTTTCTTTCCCCTCAAGTGAGCCAGGAGCTTGACTAAGCCTCACTTTCCTTAAATTTCAGAACAAAACCTTTGTGAAAGTATTTTAACTTCCTGTGGGATGACTTTCTCCTCTATAAAAAAACCTCCAGAAATCTCTAAAAGCCGTATTTTAGAGAAATCCCTAAAAGCTATATTTGAGACAGATCTTGCCATTTTTATGAATCACTCACTGAAAAAACAATTACAGCCAGTCACCTTCTTTCACAAGCCCTTCAACAAAGCCAAGCTCTATCCCCACCCAGATGGCAGTGGCCTCCTGCTGATGGGGCATTCCAAACTCTTTTCACAAGGTGTCTTCAGGTCGGTGGAGCCCCAGCTCCAAGTGAAGCCTCCATATCTCTCAGAAATGAATTCAAGCAAATGCTGCTAAAAGCCAGGCCGGGCACTGTGAATCCCAGTACTTTGGGAGGGTGAGGCAGGCGGATCACTTGAAATCCGGAGTTTAAGACCAGCCTGGCCAACATGGCAAAAACCGGTCTCTACTCAAAATACAAAAAATTTAGCTGGGTGTGATGGCGCATGCCTGTAGTCCCAGCTACTCAGAAGGCTGAGGCAGGAGAACTGCTTGAACCTGGGAGGCAGAGGTTGCACTGAGCCGAGATGGTGCCACAATGCCTGGGCATTGTGAGTCTCAGCCTAAATGCACCTTCTTCTAAAAATACTATTGGCATAGAAAATACCAGTGATGTAGCTCCTGAGATTTTGAATTCAACCTAACCTTCAATTTCATTCCCCGCAAATATAACAGAAAAAAAAGGCATTTCTTGTTTTTTCCTTGCTCAGACTGCAAAAGAGTAAAATGTGGCATCAGAGCCCACTGGATCCCCTGGGAAAAGGCAATTCCAGGCGCTCTCAAAGAAGAACAGCTGCTTGTCTAATTTGAACTTACATAATGCTTCCTTGAAATCACACAAATGAGTCAGTGAAGTCTTGGGACATTTCAGTGAACTGATTTCATGCATAACATTTTAAAAGAGCAGTTATCCAGGTGACTAATGAGACGCATAAAATAACATACCTCCTGGCACGATGGGTGGAGAAGGGCACCGCTTCACTGCTGCAGGCTTCTTGCCACACAAACCCAAACTGAGAGACATCATACAACATAACCAGCCAGAGTGTCAAGGTCGTGAGCGAAAAAGATTGACGACCTGCCCCCAGTAGGAAGAAACTAAAAAGACATGATACCTCCGTGTCATGTGGGATTCGGGATTAGATCCTGGACCAGAAAAAGGTCCATCGGTAGCCACTTGGCAACACTGGAATGAGGTGTGTAGACTAGTTAGTGGTATTCTCTCAATGGTAATTTCCTGATTTCGATCATTGCAGTGTGATTGTATAAGACATTAACATTTAGGGAAGTTAGTTAGCTGAAGGGGATCCAGAAACCCTTTGCAACACTTTTTGCAGTTTTGTGTTTAAGTCTAAAGTTATTTCAAATAACAAGTGTTTTAAGAAGCGGTACGGCCAGGCAGGGTGGCTCATGCCTGTAATCCCAGCACTTTGGGAGGCTGAGGCAGGTGGATCACTTGAGTTCAGGAGTTCAAGACCAGCCTGGCCACCCTGTCTCTACTAAAAATACAAAAATTAGCAGGACATGGTGGCATGTGCCTGTAATCCCAGCTATTGAAAAGGCTGAGGTGGGAGAATCTCTTGAACCCAGGAGGTGGAGGTTGCAGTGAGCCAAGATTGTGCCATTGTACCCCAGCCTGGATGACAGAGCGAGACTCCATCAAAAAAAAAAGAAAAAAGAAAAAAAGAAGCAGTTATGAAAGACATTCCTTTTTGCCCTGTGAACCCTGGGAAGAAATGTCTTCCCAGGACACCTCAGAATTTCCTCTGCTAGGAGACATAGGTATTGAGAGACATCTTTGAGAATCAGGCCTCATTACTGCCTGTACCGACCATGTGTGAAAAGCTCTGCTTGCCCAGAAAATGTCACCCTCAAGGCCACCACCACCTCTAGTTGCTTACCTTGCTCCATTTTCTCTATCACAGGCACGTAGGGTTTTTTCTGGGAGCCATGACAGGGGTCTGGAGAGGCGGGTGGCCAGCATGGCAGCCACAAGTGGTAGAATGGCCCACTTCCTCCCGGCGGCTCTGAAACACAAAACGCACCCTCAGCATTGCTTTGTTGCCTTCGGGGCTCTAATGAGGAGTAGTCATGTTTCTTTCAGGTTGTGAAAGTCAAACTGGGCTGGATCGGTTCCACGCAGGTCCAGTCCTGGTACCAGGTAGTCTGCGCTGGTTGCTCTCTTAAGCTGCAGCCTCATGATGGAAAGAGTCAAGAGCCAGGGTGTCTGGAAGCCTGGGTTCTGGCTCTAGCTGTGCCACCAATGCACTGGGCAACCTTGGGCAAGTCATCGCCGATTCATAACGTGAGCAGGTTGGCCCAGATCAGTGATCCTCAAACCCGCCAACAGCTGTGAGACTCAGGGACCTAACCCTCAGGGATCAGACTCAGCAAATCCTATTCCTCTAAGTTGGTGAAACACCCACCTGTGATGCCCCAAGGCATCAGCTTCACTCCCGAGGTGCCCACCTGCCTCTGTAGGCAGCTTGTCCTCATGTCACATAGCATCTGACCCAGCTCTTCGCCTCTTTCCCCCATCCCAACAAACAAGAGGCCTATGTCTCTGAGACTGAATTCATCAGTAATTCACTATAGCACAGAGTTTGGAGCTGCCAAATAAGAGACTCTAGTAATTAAAACACACACATGACCTCCCCCTTCCCTCCCCATTTGAGGTTAAATCAACCTATTGCAACAAGGCCAAGAATCTCTTGGTAACACCTTAAGGCTACCCGGCACCACCACTCTTCTGCATTGACTGCTGATCAGCACGTGAATGTGTTGCCCTCCTGTTGTTAACAGTGATTCCTCCACACCTAAGGGAAGGAAGGTGGGCAGGTAAATAGGTTCTAGCCTCTCCTTTGCCTACCTGGATATAGTCTGTCATACTGTTCCCAGTAATAAGGTACTGCCTGAGGGGCTCCTCCCCGGCCTGTTTGCTGCCACCCCAAACCTGACTGATCACCAGCCACCTGGGCCCAAGGTCAGCAGTAAGTGTTAACTAAGCAACCACTGCCTTGCTGTACTGCCAGAGACAGGTGGGGGCATTTAATCTGTTTAATCCTCAGGAAAGAAAAGCAGGCAAAATCTCTGGCTTACAGTATCTTTCTGGAACTACAGTAAACTATCGCCCCTATTTGCCACACCCATAAGCACTGCAGCCTGAGAAACCTTTTTATTGATTGATTGATTGATTGAGACGGAGTCTGTCTCTCAGGCTGAAGTGCAATGGTGCAGTCTCGGCTCACTGCAACCTCTGCCTCCTGGGTTCAAGCAATTCTCTTGCCTCAGCCTCCAAGTAGCTGGGACTGCAGGCACCCACCATCACACCCAGCTAATTTTTTTTGTATTTTAGTAGAGACAGAATTTCACCATGTTGGCCAGGATGGTCTTGATCTCCTGACCTTGTGATCTGCCCAACTCGGCCTCCCAAAGTGCTGGGATTACAGGTGTGAGCCACCACGCCCAGCCGAGAAACATTTTTAACGCGAGTCAGGCTATGCAACTTCCTTGTTTAAAGCCAACTTTCCATGCCTGCTGGGGCTGACCTCTACCTCCGTGGAGGCCTCTAGTTCACCGGGCCACCCTCCTCTTTGCTCACTGCACTGCAGCCAGCACTGACCCTGAGAGCTCCTCACCTATGCTAGGCTGTCTCCTGCCTCAGACCTGGCTCCTCCTCTGCCCTCATCCTGGATGCTGAGTCCTCTGACTCACTTACTAAAGCGGCTCCCATGCAGCATACAGCTTGGTCTCTGTAAGATCACTCTCATAGCAACTACCGTAATCCAAAATTATCTTATTTGTTATAAAGTAAATAATAGATCGTAAGCTCAGTGATGCCAGGAGCCCTGTCCACCTGGTTCACTACCAAATCCTCAGTGCCTAGAACGAGCCTAACACAAAGGAGGCACTCTGAGTCCCTGGGGTGTGGGGAGGAGCTGAGTGGGCTCCCGCAGGGCAGTCTGGAGGTGAAAAGTCGGCCTGTGGCCACAAAAGAAGTTTCCACGGTAAGCACCTTGCAGAGAGCAGCAGAATGGAGCCCAGACTGGCTTTTTATGGTTCTGTGGAAGGCACAGGCCCATGTTGGCTCAGACTTTGTAATGAGGCCCCCCTCCCGCCATCTAAGTACTGACCAGCTCGCTAAGCACACACATCTCTACCTCCTCCCACAAAAACCAGGGACCAGAGTCTGAGGTCACCATCACTGGGAGACTTCCAATTCAGTCGTCTACAATTAAAGCCTTTTCCACCCCCTAGCTCAATGCCTGTGGCAGAAAATGCTTTAATATGATCTCCAAATAGAGAGCTGCTTTCCACTTTTTTTCCTTAAAGTTAGCAATATTTAAAAGTACTAAAGTTGGCCGGGCGCGGTGGCTCAAGCCTGTAATCCCAGCACTTTGGGAGGCAGAGGGGGGTGGATCACGAGGTCAACAGATAGAGACCATCCTGGTCAACATGGTGAAACCCCGTCTCTACTAAAAATACAAAAAATTAGGTGGGCACAGTGGCGCGTGCCTGTAATCCCAGCTACTCAGGAGGCTGGGGCAGGAGAATTGCCTGAACCCAGGAGGCGGAGGTTGCGGTGAGCCAAGATCGCGCCATTGCACTCCAGCCTGGGTAACAAGAGCGAAACTCCGTCTCAAAAAAAAAAAAGTACTAAAGTCAAAATAATTAAAAGTGCATAAAAACTCAGTCCCTTGAACAATGCAGTATTCTCAATGTAGTCTGTTACATGCGTTTCTGAAACCTGTAGCTATTTCTAAACCTGAAACAGGAGTTACTGTTTGTCATCTTAATGTTTTTCTCTGTAAATATTAAGTTCTCAAACTTCACACACCACTCTCTTGCCTTTTAGTTTCGGAACAGAAATGGCTGTTGGAGGTGGGTAGCTCAGTCTCCTTGGCCTTGAAAGTCAAGGAATTAGTCACCCCTAAGGTGACTGAGCACAGGGGCTTGACTCCCAGGGCCAAACTCATAAGACACTGTCACGAAATCAAGATGCTCACATATCAGCCTATAATCTTGGAGACATTTTTCTAATGCTAGAAACACTTGGGCCTTCTCTCAAGGGCACACCCTCCCCACTGTCAAGGTGTAACACATGGAAACACTCCCACTCCAGAAAAAAAGAAAACTGTATGCATCCTTGCCTCAATGCTGGGCTCACTATGTTCCATTCTGACATGACTCTTGCAGAGGTCTGTTATATGTAAATTCTTCGTGCTGCAAAAGCAGCAGCACCAAAATATATAGGTTGCTTCCAAATCTCAGCTATTGTAAAAAGCACTGGAACAAACATGGGAGTGCAGATATCTCTTCAATAGACAGATTGCCTTCCTTTTGGGTACGTACCTAGCAGGGGGAATTGCTGGATCATATGGTAACTCTATTTTTAGCTTTTAGAGGAACCTCCAAACTCTTCTCCATAGTGGTTCTACTAATTCACATACACAAGAGTGTATGAGGCTTAGAACATGACTATTAATTCTCAGTTTTGACCTATATTCTAAGAATAGCTCAATATAGACCTTATAATGACAACAGGAACACGTGCTTCCCCCATTCCACTCCTCATCTGTCCTTCCCCAAGACTATGTATTACCAGAGCTGTCAAAAATGCCATAATTACAACTGCCAGATCAAGCGGGCCTTCTCTCACTTGGAGAACAGGGCTTGCCTACCAAATTAAAGACAAACCACTAAATGACGGAGTCTCAGGACTCTGTACTTGGTCTGTTCTCACCACCATGACATGTACTAGTAGCTTTAAATACGATTCACATGCTGCCAACTCCCAAAGGTTGATCTCCAACCCAGCCTTCTCCCCTAAACTCAGACTTATGTAAACAACTGCCCATCCAAATCTTCACTTGAATGTTTGCTAGGTAACTCAAATGTAACCTGTCCAAAACTGAGCCTGTGCTATTGTCCCGCAGACCTGTTCCCCTACATCTTCCTCATTCTTGACTCCTCTTTCTTGCACACACCACAGCCCAGAACTCAGCAAATCCTGTCGATGCTACCTTCACAATGTATCTAGGATCCTCTGCTACCAGCCTCGTCTAAGCCTTCATCCCTTGTAGCCTCCCAACTACACTCCTGTTCCTGTGTAATTCCTGCAGATTCTGCTCAGCACAGCCTGCAGGATCCTGCGGAACATAAATCAGATCATGTCATGCCTACACCAAACTCCTGCCAGAGTAAAAGCCAAAATCTAGGGCCGGGCGTGGTGGCTCAAGCCTGTAATCCCAGCACTTTGGGAGGCCGAGGCAGGTGGATCATGAGGTCAAGAGATCAAGACCATCCTGGTCAACAATGGTGAAACCCAGTCTCTACTAAAAATACAAAAAATTAGCTGGGCATGGTGGCACATGCCTATAATCCCGGCTACTCAGGAGGCTGAGGCAGGAGAATTGCCTGAATCCAGGAGGCAGAGGTTGCGGCGAGCCGAGATCGCGCCATTGCACTCCAGCCTGGGTAACAAGAGCGAAACTCCGTCTCAAAAAAAAAAAAAAAAGCCAAAATCTAGAGTTTGCCTATAAGGCCCTCCATGTTCTGGGTCCCCATGGCCTCTCTGACCTCATTGCTACCTTGTTCACTGTACTTTGGTCACCCTGGCTTTCTTGCTGTCCTTGGAACATGGCAAGCCAGCTCCTGCTTTAGGGCCTTTGTCCTTACTGTTCCCTCTACCTGGAACACTCTTCCCCCCATATCCACAGGGCTCATTCACTTCAGTCCTTGACTAAAATGTTCACTAAGACATCCTCTGGCCACCCCATCTATCCCACCCCAACCCTGACTTTATCAATAATCCTTCTCCGCTTCCATTTTTTCCCTCCTCCTTGCCACTTTATTACATTATAGCATTCCACATGTTGTACATATTTATCTTGTTTGTTGTCATTCAGTCTCAGGATGCAAGCTCTTTGAGAACAGGAATTTTTTCTGTTTTGTTCACTGTTGTATCTCCAACATGTACAACAGTGCCCTGCACGCAACAGATACATAATATTTATTTATTTATTTA